GAAGGCAAACCTCGTTGAAATTCACTGTAGACTGCGTCTTGGACATATATTCTGTTGGTGCAAACACAAGTCTGCCCGGATGATCTGAATTTACTTATGATGGCACCAGCAACTGCCTTGTCGAGATCCGCGTCGTCAAATACAATGAAGGGGGCGTTGCCTCCAAGCTCGAGGGACAATTTCTTTAAAGTAGAAGAGCATTGCTGCATAAGAAGTTTTCCGACACTTGTGGAGCCGGTGAAGGATACCTTTTTGATGATAGGGTTGGTGCAGAGCTCTCTACCAATTTCGGGGGTATTTTTGAGGGCCGTCACTATGTTTACAACACCTTTGGGAATACCGGCACGGCTTGCCAATTCTGCTATGGCAAGGGATGTCAATGGGGTTTCTCCAGGAGCTTTTGCGACGACTGTACATCCTGCAGCCAGGGCCGGTCCAATTTTCCGAGTGATCATAGCCGCCGGGAAGTTCCACCTTTTCGAGGAGCATTTCATATGAGTGGAAATACCTGGCATGGAAGAGGAGCAGAAGGAGCAAACATACGGAGTAATCAACCCACAAACACCAACAGGTTGTTTGACGGTAACAACCCTGTTGCCTCTAACAGAGGCAGGAATACTATCTCCATATATCCTTGGCGCCTCTTCGGAGAACCATTCAAAGAAAGCCGCTGCATATGCAACTTCACTCCTGGCATCTGCCAGTGGCTTTCCGTTCTCCCGGGTAATGAGAGTAGCCAAATCCTCCTGATTTTCCATGATGAGCTCGTACCATTTTCTCAGCATTCTAGCCCTCTCCCGGGGGAGTGTCTTTCGGAAAGACTTGAGGGCATCTCGAGCAATATTGATAGAATCCTTGACTTCAGATGCGCTGAGTTCGGGGATGGTAGCTATCCTCTCGGTAGAAGCAGGGTCATGGACATCAAATGTTTTTCCGTCTTTAGCTTTGACGAATTGGCCGTTTATGAAGGCTGCCTCATGGAACAGTGAGGGGTCTTTGAGCTAGATATATACATTTCAGCAGGCCAACTAGAGTAGTGGTGTGAAGTAAGTGCCGATACCTTTGGAACAATGTGTGACGAAAGAGGCATTTTGCATAATAACCTAAAGCTGTTATGATGCTGGAAGTGGGGACGGAGAGAGCGGGGGTAGGATTGAAAGAGTGTTCTGAGCATTCTGTATTGTAAGATAGATATCACTGGTTAGGATTATTACCTAGGCTGTGAGTCGGTCCCTTAGAAGAGGGATAACACGGTAGGTATCATACCGAATAGGTAACTTGCCTACCGACGGTGGGATGATACCGTTATTGTACAGTCGTGTCCGTAAAGTCTTCATAATCCGGGGGCGCAACCACACAACCACAACACCTCTCTATGGAAAATTGAAAAAAAATTCAAACAACTCAATTAAGAAAGGTATATGAATAGAACTAATAAGCCTTAAGAAAATATTATTACCACTTTGTATGACCACCATCTGCATCTAGTACAGCCTGTATTCTCTCAGGCATCCTATCTATCCACCCATCCAACTTCTCTTGGGAAATTAAATCCCATTCCTGCTTTGCTGCCTGAAATAATTCAGCAGGACTGTGAGGCCTCCTATCCAACCTGGAGAATCGATTTCTGAGGGCTCTTTTAAGCAGAGCCCAAGTGTTCTCAATAGGATTGAGATCTGGTGAGTTGGGTGGCCAAGGCAATTTTTGATAACCACAGTCTGACTGCAATGTTCTGTTTTCCTCACCACCATGCCAGGAGGCATTGTCTGCTGCTAGGTAGATGTTGTCAAAAGGTCTATCCAGACCTTCTATAAAAGGGATGAGGTATGGCTAGTGGATTTCAGTTGCATATTGGTGGGAATTGAGGCCAAGTCTGTCTCTTTTACTGGTCCTTTCTTCCTCCCCCCTCTTCCTCACAAGAATTAACTCAGTCCTGCCACCCTTCATGATTGCAGCATAGATCCCAATACTAGTCCTTCCAGACTTAAAGCTATGCTTCAAGTTTTTTTCCTCCAGCTCTTCACCAGGTATAACTCTGACCTTCCTCCCAGTAGGATTTGGATCATAGATAATGGTGGCTTGAGAGTTTAACCAGTAGTCCGCGTAACGTTACCTCTGGCGTGCCCTCCAATTCTCCCTTCTCCCTAGCAAACTCCTTTCTCT